TTCTTAAATCAAATACAAGAATGAAGAAAATGTCTCATACATGAAGAATACAATTCCTTCTTCCATTTTTTTTTTGACTGAGAATACTTAATATTCATATTTTTTAACAAAATGGCTGACCACTTAAAGGAAACTCAGGGATCTGCACAAAACACAACAGTGAGTTATTGATGTGCATGCCTGTTACTTTGTTTAAAGTTTGACTTAAGACTCAAGTGTGACAGATGAGGAAAGAAGAAAAAGTGTTGAAAGGTCCATCTGATACTTCACTGGCTGCTTAGTCCTAGTGTCCTTGAACTCACCATCGGTTCTGTGTTTTCACTGTGATGATAAAGCTGCAGAACGCTGCAAGACGTGCAAGACGCTGCAAGACGCTGCAAGACGCTGCAAGCTGCAAGACGCTGCAAGACGCGCTGCAAGACGCTGCGAGCGCTGCTTGCTTGTCAGGTTAAGTCAAGATCTTATTGGTAACATGTTTGGATGGATGCACATACTGCGTCCCAGGGCCATGCAATAAAATACTCAAGCATAATAAAATTCACAAAAACGACATAAATAAAAAACAAGCACACACAGCCTGAGCAGAGCAGTGACGTCTGGACACAGACGCAACATTTTGAATCTTTAATTCACAAAAGCTTTTGTGAAGATTGCTGCTTCATGAGAGATCATTTTAAAACACTAATAAGGACAAGAACTCACGTTTTTTTCACTTTTCTGAACATTTGCACTTGTAGTTAACCTCTGAACGTAGTTTAACGTGTCTTGTGTGATACGATTTTCACACCAATCAGCATAAAGAAAGGATGCGTTCTCTATGGCTGCAGTATTTTTGTGAATGAATACCTCTATGTAGACGAAGTGTTCGCTCTTCTCGATGGCGTGGACGTAAGCGTTGTGGATGGACTCCTCGTGGTATTTGATGCCAGCGGACACAATCACAGGCTGAGCGAAGGATCTGAGAGAAGAGAGACAGTGGTCAAAGTCTTAGAGGGAAGAGAGGAAATGTATAACTTAAACAAAACCTTTTTTTGAGTTTGATGTAGATTGACCTGGTAAAAAATATCTGTTTGACCACTGAGACTCTGAAATGACCAAAAGTTAGTTTAAGACAGCATTTTCAATATGGTGACAATGGTCTTCAAAACGCCTCTTCAGAAACCAATGGGTGACATCACTGAGACTATGTCCATGTTTTGGATGACCTATGATTAGACTTATAGCACAGTCATAATCAAGTGCATGGCATTTGAGGTAAACTACTAACTACCAACCTGTACTTTGGCGGGGATGCAGTTGGGGACTTGGTATCTCTGCTCTCCAGCGGTGGTGTGAGACTTGGGCAGCAGACACGGGAACGACGGCGAGTTGTACTTTGGCTTCACCAGCTGGAGGAGAAACAGGGAAACAGTCAGAGGGAGCTCTCATCTTGCACATGCTGCACGGCTACTTCTCTTGCTACAACAATGAGGAAATCTGCAGTCAGTTCAGAGGTGCATTGTAACAATGACTGTAAGTCTCTGCATGGTCAGCTGAGCCATCAGGATAACTTTTTCATCTAAATGGGCTCATTCATTCCAAAGTAGGCACTCATATTTTGAGCCTTGGAATTGATTGGTTCCTTGATTCAATTTACAGCATTTGCCCTTTACCAATTAAATCAGCGAGCATTACACTTGGTGACCCTGAGTGTGTCGTGCCAAAAACTGGTGAACTACCTTGAGGCAGATGGTCCTGTCAATGGAAAGAAAAGCTTTTCTAAAAGTCAAAATCTTTATTTAGATGATAGTTAACATTTTACCGATGATAGCTGTGCAGCTACAGTGAGCATAAAGGGTCTGAAGGATGTCTGCAGGAAATGATGCAATTTTGCAACCTTTTTATTCCCCCAACGTCCCATTTTTTCTTTATTTACTGCAATCTTATGTTCTTGCTCAACAACTGTACACATTCTATAAAGAGGGATGTGAAGTTACATTAACGCACATGATGGGAGACAGTTCAACAAGTTTTGTATGTTTAAAGCCGAGAGTAAATGAACAGAAATAAATCCATTAAACGACGTACAAAAAACAAGATAATTATGCATTATACACATACATTGAAGTGTACACCAGTATTCATTTACCGTACATGCACATACAAAGAGGGGAAACATTCACAGCAATATAGCATCTGTTAGTTTGTCAATTCCAAGAACTGCTGCCTTTAAACCCAGCTTGACCAGGACTGAATGAATCTGTCCATTAGTAAACGAAGTTAGAAGATATTCTTTTTTCCATCATAAAGATTGAATTAAAAATCTTTATAATGAAATCCTCTCTATCGCTCTCTCTCTCGGACCGAAGCAGCACGTAAACTGACCTTTGTGAAGTTCCACCTTTGAATAAAGTGTCTGGCCACGTCTCGAGCTGCTTTCCCATGAACCACTGAGGAGATGTCATGCCAAGGCATTCTGGGAGTTGTGTGTCTGTCTATGAAATCTAAAACAGCACAAACAGAAATTTCAGAACTAATTTTTCCCTGATAACCAAGAGTCACTTGTAAAATGTAATAGTGTGCTCACCATCGAACGGTTTGTCCAGTTGAATCCAGTCCTTGTGCACAAAGTTGCAGTAGTCTTTTCCGTGCCAGAAGCGCGTGTTTCCAAACAACTCTCCCACCCCGGTTTGAAGACTACGCACTGAGCCGCTCTCTGAAACACACACAGGAAATCATGTCATTTTTCCTCTGCACTAAAAAATAAAAACTTTAGTGACAAAAAATCTTCCAAAGACCAGTCCTGCAGGATCTTTTCCTTGAAGTTTTAGTTACTCCTGAAGAGATGAAATTTAATGATGGCTCAGGAACTATCAATGCTGACTTTTTAAGGGGGAAATCAATCATTGGCCTGTTTTTGGGGTCTGAATGAGTAACAGTATACAAATAGTTTGTGGACCTTTGAGGTAGATTGTATCATACACCAAACTCCATTAACAAATGGTTTGGTTGTGTTATTGTGTGTTACATACTTACTGTGTTTGACCTGCATGGTCAAAATCAACCATCTTCCTCTAAAAGGTCTATCTCTGTAGGGATCCTTTCCGTAATGTAGTCAGACACTTAGAATAAAAATCTGAGCCCGTGACAGTGTACATACTTTTGTAATTTTCATTCATTTGGAGCCCAAAATAAGTTCACATTGAATCCAGGGTTACATGCGGGGTATCTTAAACATGGTCAAATCTGTTTACAGTAAACCAGAGGACGATGCTGACTGTGATGCACTGGTGTTTGTAAAACGGTTTGAAGGCACTTTTGCAGAGACGAAACAGCAGCTGGAGGGACAACAGCATGGCACTCAAGATTTATAAAACCTACTACAGAGAGAAGTACAGAGACTGAACTCAACTTTATCTTTTATAGCACTTACCTTAAAAACATTGAATCCCGTTGTTATTATGATGTAAGCAACTGAGTTGAAAAGTAATAAAGAAAAATAACAATGGAGGAGTGTTATCTCCATGTCATTTTGATTTGATTTGTTTAAAGAAGCGTTTGTTTGCACATGAATCGCTGACTCTTCTCGTCCATCATGCAAGCAGGATAAACAGATACAAGCTTTGCAAACAAACTTCATCACTCTTCTGACTTATACAAACCTCCTGCATCTGTTTCAGTGCAGAACAGACACGTGTGCCAAGAAATAGGAGTTTGTTTAGAAACTAAAAAGGGCAAGTGATTACACGCTGCAGTATTTCATCCCATAAAACCCCGGCCCTCTTTGATGTGCAAGACTTCCTAAAAAAAGGGGAAAAGGCGACACATGACCACATGTTTACTTGTTTCCCTTTAATTGGCTGAACTCTTTAAGTTGGTGCTTCAGACTCTCACACAGACAAACCAAAGGAACCAAAGGCTGACATAAAAACCACAGCAAACCACACTGGAAGACGGGAGGAGGTCAGCAGGGTTTAAAACTCGGCCACACTGCGACTCCACACTCACCAGCCTGACACTGGCCAATTAGAGAGGCAGTCCTCAGCTCAGCCAGCCTGCTGTGGATCAGATTGTGTTGGCTGGTGACACTGTTGGACCAACCTAAAAAGAGCGGCCACAAACACTGAGACAAAAGCCCAGATTGAGGCTACAGCAGCAGCTAATGCTTTGACAAGTAAGGCCTCTAAAGATTGAAAACGTTCAATCCTGCAGTCTGACCACAATCATTAAAGGTAACATTGAAGTATTTTTTTTCTCACCACGTTGGTTTTGCACTGATTGTCACCTGTCTCCTGGTATATGGCTTGGCACAAAAAACACCTTGCTGCTCATGCTCAAATTAATGATTCCGACCAAGCAAAAATCACAATACAGTCAACAAAACAAAAGAAATAAAAATGATAAAGCAAAGATAAAACTCACTGGCTTCGTCTTCCAGGTCACTGTCGCTGTCAGCGCTGGCAAGCCCGTGTTTCTGTAGGTGTCTCTTGATACTAAACCTGGTCCTCTTCAACCTCCCCTGACCCTTCAGCTTGGGCTGATCCACCGAGTCTGTCACCGTAAACACGCCATTCCCATTGCGCTGGGAAACCCCGCCACTGCCGTTAGCAGGGGCAGCCATATTGGGAGCGACAGCTTCAGCCTAAAAATGAGTTAAACACCCAGCATTAGATGGATGGATGGATGGATGGATGGATTGACAGACACTTTGTCATTCTATAAATAAAACTATGAAACAAAACTTTGTTGGGCTGCATTTCCGTTAAGCAGCATATGTTTGGCTATTTATCAATAAAATAAAATGATTGCCTAGTCGACGAATACTCAAGAAATTGCAGAATAAATAAATAGTTATGTTTATTTACTGTGAATCAATAATAAACGTATTTACAGTTTATGAACGAGTTGACAGTATCCATAAGGTCAAGAATAAATTGTATAAATATGTAATATATATATATATAATAGCTTAACAGCTTTGGTACAGTGAATTAATAAGTTAAATTAGCCAGGGTTCCCAATAAAAAAGCAAAAACATTGAAGCAAAAAAATAAATGAAGTAACTGATTTAATGATCCATTTAAAACAGGAGGGTACCATTCATTATATCAAGTAAACAACTGACCCTTTGTGTGCATTGTGTGTATAGAAGGTTTTCTTGGTTTTATTTTAACTGAACCTGAAGAATGAGAAGTGAATGTGGAAAGTAAAAACAGACAACAAAAAGGGAAAGCTGAAGATGAAGGTGCAATTGCTACACCGGTGCCTTACTTGCTCCAAATGTGAGAGTGTCACACTCCCGACATCCGTTAGCCGGTGTTCCCTGTCGTCCCACCGACCGTACGCGAGGTCAATCCCACCAACGAAGGCCACCGACTGGTCGACGATGATGATCTTCTCATGATGCGCCCACAGGTAGACGGCAGATGAGACGTGGTCTGGATTACGCATCACCTTTGGAGTAAAAGTCATAAAATCAAACAGGGAACATGTGTATTCATGCTGACACAGCTTTAAAGGAAATCACACACAGACCTTGATGTTGGGGTGGAGGTGCCGGAGTGTTCTCTTGCTGTATCCTGAATTAATGCCCAGAGCTAACTCCACCTCTTTGTACAGGATTACAAAGATGTGCACTCCTTGTTCCTATAGAAACAGTAGCAAAACATCAGTCCAAGTAGCTGTAACTTGAGATAACATTTTGTGCAGTCTTCTTTTACATAAAGGGCCAGTATCTAAAAAAATATTGTATTCATTTTTAAGTCTGTATCCAGTCTGTGCGATTTCAGACAAAAAAACAACAATAAAGAACCGGTTTCTTTTCTTACCGCTTTTCGTTTCAGGATGGAGTCCAGACGCCAGCGGTTGCCCTCAACAACCGGCCTCTTTAGGAAGATTTCTGGACTTAACCTGTCAGAAAACACACATCATAGGACTTTATATTTTTTTCTTTTTGTCAGACAAAGCCAAGAAAACCTTTCTACAAGCTGTCTCTCCTTAAAAAGTAAACTTCTGTCTGATGTTTTGCTTTTTTTCTTTCTTCTTTACGTCTTTCGTCATTTGTTTTTCTTAAAATCCCATTATCTAGCACAAAACCTTTGGATAACAAAGTACAGTTTAATACCAATACATTTTTTGGGGGGTGTTTAAGACTTGCGGTGACTGGGTACTGTTCCAGCATCCCTAAAAACCCTGAATAAAATTTGTAAAACTCTATTACAACAAAGAAAGATGCATCAGACATTTTTTAATGACTATACTCTTTGCAAGTACACTTCTCTCACTGCAGATACGCACTCACATTTCACATATAGCACTGAAATGTGACTGTGAGTGTGTATAACAGTAGTCTGAGCCTCAGACTGTAACTGATCTGTTTGACCAGAACACCTCCCAAAGAGGTGACCGCCAAGTGCACTCCCTGTACCCTGATACACACACACACACACACAGAAAAAGACACACACACACAGAAAAGACACATACAATCAGACTGAGTCACGCACAAAACCAGGGTCTTCCTCTTCTATATACACAAAATCTCCACCTGCAGCAATATTTCATTTTATTCTGCAGACACACACTCAGAAGTAAATGCTTACCACCAGTCTGTGATGAATATCTCCTCTTTGGCCGCTTCAAGAGCATCGGCCACATCTTCCATGTACGTCTTCCCATTCACATACCTACAGAGGACGCACACACATAAATATGCACATTCACACGAACCCAAAAAATATACACATGGGCAGCGCACACACTTTTAGACAGAAAACATTTACCCAATAAAGACTTTCTGCTCTCAATAACATCTCTCAACATCTCAAATAACAATCTGTATATCTTCTTTGTTATGCTTTTTCTGGAGGACATATCAGCTGTGAACACACACACACACACACACACACACACACACAGTCTCACAGACAGTATAGTGTTGCCCAGCAGGGACATAGGTGATGAGCAGGGGAGGCTCACTTTCGCTCTCTTTGTGTCGGGTTACTCCAGCGAGCCACACACACACACCATACAAACGCACACACTCACACACTCCCTGCTAGCTGGACCGGGCTTTGTCTAGACATTTTCACGGACACCTGGCCCCGGTGTTTGGCGCTAATTTGCAACCATGTTATCCCAAGGCCCCGAAGGTGAACTCCTCATTTACATGTAGAATAAAAAAAAGGCTCATTTAACCACTAATGAAGGCAACAAATTGCTGATATCACAGATGAAAAAAAAAAAAAAACACCAGTGGACAATGTCATTTGGTTGTCACGGTTACCATTTGGCAGGGATGTTAACTTCCTCTCTGGCGAAGGATCCGAAGCGGTGGTCGGTGAGAAAGGCTGAGCCGTGCTTCTGGACGAAGCCTTCAATGGCCTGACCCCACCAGCGGGCGTGTCTGTAGCTGCTGCACTTCAGCAACAGCGACCTGTACACATAACACACACACACACACACACACACACACACACACACACACACACACGCACACACTATGAAGAACCAACTATTAAAGTTTAAATGTTCCACTGATGGTAAACTCTTTGATGCTGCCGTATTTTTCCCCACTTTATTAAGAAAAGGGGCCATTTACAGTGTGTGCAGAACAATGGATTGGTTTGTGTTATGTTTTGAATTTGCTGTTAAAACAACAAACTAACCAAATACACAGCAGTCAACAAACAACTCTCTTTCCTGCAAGTTAAAATGGGATGTTTTTCCAGTGGAGTCTAGTGGTTTTGAAGGTGGTGACTTACCAGCTGTTTCTGCTCAAAAAAGAAAACATCTCGTATTTCACTAGTAATAAAAGCCTTTTGGTAATCAACGCTGATTAAACATATAAACTGTGCAAAACTCCTTGTAAGTAACAGCTTTATTAATCACACACCTGGACAGACTGTCGATGCGAACGCCGTGTTTGGTCTCTGTGTCTCTGGAGTCCATCTTGATGCTGAACTCCTTGTCAACTAGCATCACAAAAGAGATCGCACCAGAGTCCGGCTTCATGTAGAGCAGGAACGAGTCCTTCACTACCAGCCAGCTGCAAAAAAAAAAAAAACAGAGGAAGAAAAATGTGAAAATTAAACTCTGACTAAATGAGAGCAGAAGTTGTCTTAAATCAAACTTCTGTAAACGTGTAAAAAAAAAAAAATCCTGGAATCACAAAGTCTTCAAATAAACAGATTCCTGTATTTAAGTTTAAGGAAGTGCTTCTATTCTACCCTCAGCCGTAAAACCAGGACAAACAGATGCCCTACACCACTTTGAAAGTTAGTGTTTGTCTGTGTGTTTTCTTACCGTTTGGACCAATGGTAGCACATTTTACTGCGACCGCAGCAGTTCATCCCGGGAACACGATGACCGCCGGATCTCTTCTGCACCATCCCTTCTCTGAAAGACAAGAAAACATGTTGTGCATATCAGAAAAGGAATATTTCTACATATGCAAAAACTCATGCATTGGGTTGTTCTTACAAGCCTTTTGGTCCCAGATCGTGGATAAAAGACAGTTGGCTAACATCAATGAACTCCATCTGAAAGAGAAAAAGTGTTTCCGATCAAAACAAAATCTGTAGCAAATATTTACACTGTTTTTCAGAACTTTATTGTCGTTTATCTAGTCAATTTTCAGGCATTTTCTAGATATTAAATACCACCCTTACCGTTGCATGGTAGTTTCTGTACATTGGCACCTTCAGCAGGTTATTCAAGTAATCTTCTAGTTGTTTCTGTAACAAACACATCAGAGTACTATAGTCAAGCCAGCATTATCAAATTCGATAATCCATCAACTATTAACGAGTATAAAAGCAAGAGAGGCGTAAATGAAAGCTGAGTTACCCTGCGACTGGAAACCTGCTCCTCTCTGCCCAGCTCATCTCCTCTTCCTCGGTGCAGGGTGGGCATGTGTCTCACCCCCTCTGCTGCCGACTGCCTCTTCACTGTGTGACTGCAAAAAGAAATGACAAAAAAAAAAAGACAAGAGGTTGTTATTCCAAATACCAAAGATGAAGGCAACCTGTGCAACAACTATTGCAACTTTCTTGGTTGTTAAGGCCACTGAGTCAACACAAAGGATTGTCTGTTGAAGGCTAACTGTGTCCAACTTCAAGTTTCTGAGGCTCAACAGAACCATAACCTAAGCAATCCGGAGGAAGAATGGACAGGAAAAAGTCTTGAGTGTTAACCTGCGTGTGGGCAACGGGAGCTTCATGAACGTCTTGTATGTCCTGAGCTCTCTGTGCAGATCCATGAAGTGTTTCTCCTTCCTCTTCACCAGCCACGTGAACTCCCCGTGCTTCAACTCGATCTTAAACACCGCCGGCATCGACTGAGAAAAACAGAAACAGAGACACGGCATGCTTTAAATATTTAACGTTTCCTCATCTGGTGTTTCTAGTATTCAGTTATTTGCAACAGCTTTTAAAAATTAACAAAAACAGATCATAGCTGTTTCTTTCTTTTCTTAATTGCTTTAGAGAAGATATCTTTTCATAGTCAGAGCTAGGATAATGTAGCAACATCGGGCACCCTACAGTGACTCCAGGTAGAAAGTTTAAAGTTTGGTTGGAAGACAGAAAAGCAGCCATTAAACGTATCTCTTTATGGAGACTGACAACCAAGCCAATCTCAGGAGTTGCTGCTCTACCACTGCCTCCTTTGTTCGGTGTGTTTGTGTACACTTTGGTGCTGTGCCTGGTAAAATGACTGTTTTGTGAATGGACTCTGGAGGCTTTGAAGAAAAGCACTCTTACAGTTGTTTCTGTTTTAAAAACAAATCCAACCCTTTGACAATCAGGCTGTAGGGATCCTTTCTGTAATGTTGTCAGACACATAAAACATTGAAAATTTGAGCCTGTCAGTGGAAAATATTAAGTACAAGCATTTTGCCCCTCAGCATTAAATTACAGCGATCTTAACCCATTTCAAGCGATCTACGAGAGACACTCCAAGACTTTCTATTTTAAATATCTCAAACTATGGCCCAGGTTTAATAATATCCAAATAACCCTTTAACATCAGCACATTAGCATCAGATATTGTAAGCATGTAAGCAAGCTAACCAGAGACTGAGTTCACCTTGTTGATGCTCCTCTGCGTGGTGACGTTGAAGCGGTCCTGAGCAGAGGTGAAGCGCTCCACCTCCAGGATCTTAGCGGTGATCGGTGAAGACAAGAACACTTGGGCCCTGGACTCCTTAAAACCCACCGTCTTGTAGATTGCCGTGAAAGGTAAATGATCGGCTGCAGAAACAAACAAGCAGATACAAGAACTTACTCGAACTCATATTGTTATCATAAATTTAAAAAAAAGGTGAATAAACTGCTGGAAAAACCACACTCACCTGGAGTGGTGGTGTCGGTTGTGTCGTACTCTCCATCTTCCAGGTCCAGCTCGTGGGTGTCCAGCTTCTCCATGATGTCGGTCATATCATTAGCAACCAGCTGCAGTGTACTGGAGTTTGGGTCGGACTGCCGCAGCATGGTTAGCACTCAGACTGGAGCCCAGGGCTCACCTGGAGGGACAGGTAAAAAGGGGGGATTTTAAACCAAAGGTAGGGGATCCAACTTGAAAAAAATTCTTTCCTTTGAAGGATTGGGTCGTGTTGCAGGCACACAGTGGTGTAGTGCAGGGTATAGGCAGACAGTTTAAAAAAAAAAGCTTCTTACAAGATGATTCAACCATTGATTCTGAACTCTTCCTTCGATAAAACATCAGTATTCTGTTGTTTTAAAAATGAACAGGAACTTGTTTTCGTCGCATTTTTCATTTTCAAATAAAAGACCTAAATGAGTGTATTGTATTTGGAAGTTGAGAGAAAAAAACATATTTTGCAGTCGTCTCTTGTTTTTTTCTTGAGCTGTATTTGTCAGATAAATGTAAAGATGTAAAAGTATCGCAGATGTAGAAAGTGTCATTAAATAAAATATTGACGCAAAGCACAAGTACCTCAATTTTTATTTGACAACAGTAATGAATGACTGAATGTAATAAAAGTATAAATCTCCTCTATGATTAAACTCTGTTCATATCAGCTGAATGATTTCTTCACTCCTTTTGTCTCTTTTTATTTTACATCCCCGACTCTCCAGCCTTTTTGTTCTCACTCTCTACCTCCTCCACCTTTTCCCTGCTTCTTTTTCTTCTTTAGCCGCTTAATCCGATCAACCTGCATCTCTTTCTCTCTCTGTCCGCAGCCTCAGATCACATCAGATCAGACACTAATCCAAACAGGATTACAGATCAGAGACAGACAGGAAGCAGGGGCCTTTTCAAAAACACATTCCTCTGAATGAAAACGTGTGTGTGCAGAGGGGAGAAAGTGAGTCACACTGTGAGTGTGTGTTTATGGATGAAAGGATCGACTGCAGGGTTCCCACATGAACTGACCACAAAACATGAAAGTGACACCAAACTGTGTGTGTTGATGAAACAGAGACAGACACAACAACTGGACGATTTCACCTGAACTCCCAGGATAAAGAACTTAATCTGTTATTGATGATTCATTCAGTTAAACCCTTGAGCCAATCAGAAACAAGCAGATGCAGGTGCTTGGAAAGTTTTGTGCAAACTCCCTCGGTCTCAGTCGGAGGTTTTTATTTGAAAAGTGGAAACACAATGCTGTAATGTCTCATAAGATTTATATAGCTGCAGAATCACCAAAACACACAGGACTCATACTCTGAATAAAGAGGAGTACAGTCATTCAGAGATCCAAAACCTCTTGAAAGTTTCGAAAAGTGTGCGTCTTGATGAAAAAGTATGTTTTAGTTCCACTGAAACTTAAACTGAGGTTTAATTGCGGTCTGTCTGCTCTCACTTCCCTTTCCTCATGACTCCACCACAAACCCCTTTGGTCAGACAATCTGTCCCACATTTATTGAAAAACTAAACAGGTCTGAACACTGTAAAGGCAAACAAGTCTCAATCAGCAGCCATCAGTCCAGTTATTGTCCTCAAGAAAGACCCTGACCTGACACACCCTCACCAAAACACACACACTGTGCTCAGAGATGTACCTTGTTGTTTCCCTCGTTGAAGCAGAACACGTAACCATTTCGAACAACTAAGTTAAAATTTAAAAGTTAAAGTGAATCTAGCATTCAGGTTGAATTGTCCCCCACCCATTTTCTGAGATCTCCTAATGGCCATGTGGTAAGGTAGGTAGTTTCAGCGTTGTCACAAGCTGGAACTTGCTTGTACAGAGACTAGCTCTGTTGAAAGTAGCACTGCCGTTTGGGCTATGATGTCCATATGGTAGGGGAGGTAAGATGGTATGGTTGGGTAGGTGTTGTGGGAATAATCAGGCGAAGCACAGGTGAAGGGAGGTTTCCACTTAACAACACCTGTGATGCTCTTTTTTCTGATCGGTTTACACGGTTGGGTTGTGGGGGCCAGACTACCTGGAGCTTGCATAAACAGTGCCTGGGTCTGTTGAAGGTGGCAGTGCTGCTTGGGTTTCAGTGGCAACTAAGGGCCATAGGGTATAGGTAACTTATCAGAGGGGCATGATTGGGATGAGGGTTTCTTCACTGAGCACTTATCCTTTCATTAGGGCATAAGGATCTTGTTTTTATTTCAAATTAAGGAAGACATATAAACTGTATTGTTTGCCTGAGTTTTTTCTGGTATCCGCTCTGCCTCTGATCAACCATCACCAAAAAATACACTCTTTATTTGGTTGCCGTTCACCTTTAGCGTTTACACACACCTCACATTCATCAAAAGTCTTGAGGTACAAACTGAAACAACGAGATGCAAATGCTATAACCTTTACTCCACCGCCATGGCTCCACATTTGGTTGCACAATCCAAACACAAACACAAACACTGTGCAGAGTGTCGGTAGTATGCAAACCAAACACAGCACTGAGATCCTGTGTGTGTCTGTTAGCCTCTGTGTGACTGCTGAATGAGGTAAATGTGTGTTAAATGCATCTCTGAGGTGTGTCTGCAGACATCTAGCAGAAGCTGCTGGATGAACCAGGAATTCAGAAATAACTGAAAACCTGCAGGAATGAATGCAAAGTAAAAAATACAGGATCAGCAGGTTCAAACTGAGCAGAAAAGTGAGATTATACAGATTCAATTTAAGCAGCTATGGGGTGTGATGTGTTAACAGACAGGCTCTGCTTCAGGTAGGCTACTTATTAAAACGTCCACATTCACTTTCATGTCTTTAGTCAATGAAGGGAACATGTCGTCATCACTAAAACAAACAACAAAGAGCCTGTTCATCAGGCTTATTTAGGTATAGACCCTGGTGCTGAACAGGTTGATGCATTAGCATCTGTATAAAAACTGTTTAGTGTATATTTTGTTTTTCTTAACAGAGACATCTTTGTGTTCTGCCCAGCAACTACAGATGTAAATTAGCTCATTAGGCCCCTGTCAAAATCAACAAGTAAACAAAATACAGTAGAACATATCAGACTTTACTCAATAAATAATTATACTCACATAAGAGACATGAGATGTTAAATTATGAAGAGAGTAATAATGAGAAAATGATGAACTTGTACATTCCTCTTCCCTAACATCTGATCCACTAATAATTGATATAAAGGTTAAAAAGTTCAACATAGCGCTAGAAATTAGGTTTTTATGATACCACCATTTTTAAACTTCCATATGGTTCTATTCAAAAGCCAACTATAGCGATACCTGTTTGGATACCACAAGAACAAAATTACAAGTCCAAGACCCCCAATTTTGAGCAACTTCTTGTTTTTAACTGTAACAAAATGCAGCAGGACTTTGTTTGTATTGCACAAAGATGTTGGTGTTGAAATGTACAGTCTCCTCCTCTGCTCCCCGTCGGTTTGTAAGAGACATAAATGTAACTTTGTCGTCTTTATGGGACATGAAAAGGACTCGAGAAATGTCAGTATGTGTAAATATCTGACGAACTGACCACACACCTCTCTCTCTCACTGGTGGAGACTTTATTGTAAAAACATGACAGAAGATCTTTCAAAGCTTTGGTACTTTACAATGCATCATTACAATTCTGAGATTGTGTTGTTTTAAAACATGTGGTATTGAAAAAGTAATGAAGTATCATAAATGTTGACAACCCTCTATATCACATTTTAAGGATATGACTCTCTTGAAATATAATTTACTTCATATTTTTGTCTTTAAGTCATCAGTTAAAAAAAATATTGAGATATTGTAAAGGTATCTGGTTCATGAACATTATGGTTGGAGATAGTGGAGATTATAATAAATGTAACTAAAGTATAACTTTATTCTATCTAGTTTCCCAAAAAAGAAGAAAGACTAAAGTCTGCTGTCTCGTTTGCATTTATGGCCTTCGTGTTTTTTCTTTGTTCTGGGTATTTGTTGACCATTAACAAACCCGTTTTGTGGTTTAGCCATGAAGGTAAATGTGTAAAGTTTCTGTTTACATTCAGTGTTTGTAACCTCACAGCAGTGTGTGTTTCCATGAAGACTGTCAAACATGTCTAATGTATGTATTTCAACATGTTCTGTGAATGTTCTTCAGTTATTTAAAAACCGGATTTTTTTTCCTCCATGTTTACACGGAGGGGCTCTTCTTCTTCATGCCTTTTGCTGGCGCATTGTGGATTAAAGATATATGAATTTAATTTATTTTAGATATCTAACTAGTTCTAGTGGTGATCACCATTTGTCATTTTTGTAGTTTGCATTGATTTCTTCATTTTATGTTGTATTTGAGCTGATAGGAAAATCAGCTTTACAAAGACTCCTTTCTAGTTCAGGATATTTTCGGAGGAGGCAACCTGAGTTCAATCTAAACTGGAGGCTGTTGGAATCACAAAACATATATTTTACTATGATTAATGTTGGGATTGTTTGGCACATGTGTCTGTGTATTATGCCCGGCCGCATTGAGCACTTACACTAATTGGGAACAGTGTGGACCATCGCCCCCCCCCCCCCCCCCCAACTGCATCACTCAGCAGCCAGGTGGCAGGCTGATGAGTCTTCTCACACACACCAACACGCAAACACGCACACACACACACACACACAACACACACACACACACACACACACACACACACACACACACACACACACACACACAACACACAGAAGAGACACATACAACAATTTTCCCTCCCTCTCTGATATTTCGTGCAGGTTGAAAGCACTCACTGGCAATGCAGAGATTAATTATAGTCACGTCACAGGTAAAAATACAAATGAGTTGTTCTGCTTCTGTAACTGGATCAGATAACTTTGTAAAACCTTACAGGTGAAACAGGTTCTCGTGCCAGTGTCAAATACCAAGGAAGACATCTGAGTCAGAGAGATCCCCACACAGAAAGTATGAAAGACTCAGTTCATCCTCTGCATCATCATCTGCATGAATCTCAGCGTAATTAATCAGGTAATGAAAGGTGACGCACAAAAAAAACGAGACCAAAATAACCATGAAATTAAAGTGTGTGATCTCACACTCCCTGGATTTGTTAGTTGTAGGGGGTTATTTTTACTGTGTGCAACACAAATATTCTGTGAAGTCAGTATAACGACACTCTGATAGAAGCAGATAAAGAAAGTAGCTCCTGTGTGTGTGTGTGTGTGTGTGTGTGTGTGTGTGTGTGTGTGTGTGTGTGTGTGAGTCTGGTAAGAACGTCCACTAAACCTTTTTTTTTTTTTTTTGTCAGTGACAGGCTCAGATTGTTGTTGTAAGTGCCCGATAACATTACAGATAGACTTCTTACAGGTATAAACCTTTTCGATGATTTATTCAAACCAGAAACAGATACTCGTTTTAGGGCCACCAAACCAAAAACTGACACTGACCTTTGATATTCAACTCAATACCATGTGTTTTTAAACAATACAATCTCTCAAGGATAGTATCGAAAAGTACCAAAGCTTTTACAAACTATATCTATTGCATTATACAGGAGTTTAGGAGAGGAAGGAATCCATCATAAATTGCAAGAAAAACTCCACTACAGAAAATCTATCTTGCACAAATACGTTGGCAATGTTTAGTTTTTGTGTAATTCAGACATTGTGTAGGGAGTTTGCATGCAGTTTTTGGAAACTGAAAACAAGAACTTTCAAATCAGGTGCCTAGTACTTCTATTTCTGTTGGCCAGTATCAATAGTACCAAGTTTAAAATTCTGGTGTTGTGAGTGAACCCTATAACACACACACACACACACACACACACACACACACACACTTAGAGTCTGCTTGGAAACTGGAAACCTCCAACTGGCTGGAGAACACTGTATTATACAATAGCAGGAGGAGCACGAATATACTTTACTTGCACACAAACACACACAAACACACACACTTCACAGAGCACACACTGACCTGAGCCCACGGAGGCTGAGGGAAGCCCATCATCATCCTCACCATCATCACCATGTCCTCACTTCTCTAAACTCTTCCTCCGTCAGGAAACAAAGTAACTGAAGACGCTTTTTTAAATTGACTCACACACACTCTCTACAACACACACACACACACACACACACACACTCACACACACACACACACACTGTCTCACACATCCACAGACACACACAC